ACCTGAACTAAAATTATAAAATTTTAATTACTTTAATTAATTTTTTTTATAAACTTTTACTAATTCTAATAAATATTTTATAATATAATATTATAATAATAATAATAAGTGCAGCTACAACCACAAAAACAGAAAAACATAGGCATACAGCACAATGCAGCCGAAAAATGAAGCCTAAATAAATTCTAATTTATAACTGAGATGAATTTGGGCCATGAAGACTATTAATTTCCTACTTTCGCTGAAGACCAAGTGTAACACAGAAGACATACCGTCAATGGCGGGTTCTGTACACATGGCAAAAATCCCATAGATGTATGGAGAGTTCAACTCCTACTTTCCCGGAACCGGCTTCCTCTCCTTTTGAACACAGGTTACACAATGGTACACGAAATGTAAACAATCAAATCATCCCAACATCTGATTATCATAATTTTTTTTTTTTGAAAAACAAAACAAAATTTATCTCTTTGATGACATTGACGAGCTTCATTCTATGTATCTCTGTCTTCTCAGGTTGGAGTTTGGTTCATGTTATGTTCGTTTCTAGAACTTAATTTTTCATGATTATCAATCTGCATGCTCAATCCGGCGTTCTTTGTGGTTTTTACGAAGGAAAAATGTTGATTGTCAGAAAAGTCCTTTATTATTATTATTATTATTATTTTGGGGTATATGATCTCGTCTACTAAGAGAAAGTTGATGAATTAAGACAAAGTTCATGCTTTTGTGAAAATTTTTTGTTACATTGAGGGTTTGATGACAATTTTATCTGGGTTCTGTAATGCGTATTATTTCTTTTTTTCTTTTTGATTTTCAGGTATGCCCATTTTTCCCTCTTCTGATTTTTTTATTTTGTTTGTAATTCTCGTTTGGGTGCCCTGAAGCTGATTGTTTCACTTTAATATGGATGTTTCTAATTTAGAAACAGCTATTGCTTAAAAAAAATGGTATCTCAGTTCTTTGAAACCCAGAATTTGGTTTGCAATGTTTTGTTTTGCAGTTTCTTCTAATTTTCATAAAGTTATATTGAAACCATTCAAATTCCCACAAGATAACCTCTCTATTCTGCATTCCAGGTTCGTTATTTTCTGCTAGCAGTGAATTTAAGTAGTGTTCACCTGATATTCCAAAATGCATTTATAATTCTTGATTTGAACCAAGTTATGGTCCTTTAAAGCTGAAAACCAATGGGAAAATTAATTAACAGTCACTAAAAGCTAATATAAGAATGATAAGAAACAAAAGAGAGGAAATGCTATAGAAAGAATTGTTGGAACTAAATGTCATCCAATGGTGAATGCATGCTATTACTTCTCTGTCAGTGGTTGTCAAAATTGTCAAAATTTTTCCTTGAGGGAGGCAATACTAGTCACATGTAATGATAATATGTTGATTAATTTGCTTTCATTATTTATGATTCAATCCTCACCACAGTTCCATTTTTTAAGGTAACATATTGAGGCTCTCTCTAATTCATTGTGATATAAAACATCCATTTTATGATCTTCTAGATATAATTGCTTTTCAGGCCTATTTTGTTGAGAAGAGAAATGAGGACGTGTTCATTATTTGTAAGAGCTTTGAAGCCCTCTTCTTAGAATCTTATTGTGAACTCAATGATTGAATGTTACAGAAAATAATAGGGGCAAGTAAATGCCAAATAGGAGTAACTGCTAACTGAGATGTTTTTGAACCAATGGCAAACAATAGTAGTGATACAGAAGGTAAAGAAAGATATTCAACGTTTCGCTTTCTGTGCTTTGATTTCATGTTCTGTTCATTAAGGAAAGTTATTGACATTTTTCATTTTGCCCTTTTCTCCAGCAAAGAAAGTAGGAACATTGGTTGAGTGGTTAAACAGCATTGTTCCTAACTTGAATCTGCCAATAAAAGCTTCAGAAGAGGAACTGAGAGCCAACTTGATTGATGGAACTGTTTTATGTCAAATTTTGATGAGGCTCCAACCTGGTTCTGTTAATAAGGTTGTTCAAAAGTTACTCGTAGGTTTCATTCAAATTATAATATGGATTTCACTTTTCATGAAATATTTTGTATGTTGATTTAATGTGCATTTTTTGTTTAGGAAGGTTACTCTGAAAACTCATCAGCGTCACAATTTGAAAATGTTAAAAGATTTCTAACAGCTTTGGACGATCTAGAAATACCCAGATTTGAAATTTCTGATCTAGAGAAGGTATCCATCTCTTTCCATGAACTAGGAACTCTTGAACATGTACACAGACATTTGACTGCTGGCCACAATGCAAATATCAATATGTTGAACTTGTGAATTTGAATATGCTAGAAAATATTGGTTGAACAGTTCTCATCCGATCTTGGCTTATTTTGGTGCTTCCCTTTCTTTGTAGCCATTCATCTGTATACATTGAAATATATATTGTTTCTTATAGAATTTATTAGCCTGTCTTTTTTTCTTCTCTACTCCATTGTCTATTAGATTGTGAGTTTTTTTTTTTAACCCTTTTTCTCTATCTCTTCCTTGGTGTATTGTAGGGATCTCTTAAGACTATTGTGGACTGTCTTCTAAATCTAAAAGCAAAGTTCATGCCTTCTGGAGAAAATTCTTCCACCATTAGCACACATACTAAATCAGGAAGCCTTCATCATGATGCATCTTCTCATGGCTCCCTCTCACCCCTTGTAGAAGAAAAGCGGAGGACTTCATCTGAGTCAAAATTTCAACGTACTTTGTGCAGTCCCGTGTTGTCAGGTATTATGCTTATTATCTCCATACGTTTTTGGCTTGGCCATGCATGCAACTTAGTAACTACTTTGCTTGTGCGCATGTGCATATATGTGCACCATGGCATTTCTTATTGTTCATGTTGCATTTGCGTCTTGCTTATTTTGAATTTTAGGAAGGAAACTCATGGTGAGATAAATACTATGTGATTCTGTGAAGTTATAAACTTGTTGATTGTTGCACTTTTCACTTCATTGGCTTTTAGATGTTATACCAAGAAATCTTTAAAATTTAGTTCATGAAGATGTGTAGATTAAACTAATTTAAAGTGAATATCTACTAAACTAGATTTCAAGCCCGGTTCGTCTGTATTTTTAAAAAAAATTAATTAATTAAAAATATATTTTAAAGTATTTTTTATCCAAATTTATTCTCTTTGCCATTCTCTATATTTAGAATGTTATTTTTAAAACATAGAAGGCTAAGCTTCCCTTATCTTTCCTTTTATATTATGCTTTCTTAATCATTTATTCTATCTATCATTAATTTTATTTAAGATTTCTTCTCTAAGTTTTTCCCTCAACATTTTATATCATCATATTTATTTCTTTACCCTACTTCTTCTTCCCTCTTTCATTACACTAAAATCTTTATCATTATTTCTTAGACCTTCTTGCATCTCAATTTGTCATTGCATATCTTTTGTTTTCACTCTCTTTCTTTTTTTTTAAAAAAAAAAAATTCACACGCTTTTATTAAAAAGTTTCATTTCAAAACATAAAAGGTACAACTTCTTTATATTATTCTTTTAACATTTTTTCAATTACTTTTACTCTATTTCTTCAATTATTTTTCTTGTGAGTCCATCTGTCAACTTCTTACTTATCAATTTATCTTTATAATCGTTTTTCTACCCTACATTCACCGTATCTCTTTCCCTCTCAGCATTAATAATTTATTTTTGTTATTCTTTCTCTCTTATCCTTATTTTCTATTATTCTTTTTATCTTTCCTTAGATTTTTAGATATCATTATTTATTTCTTTTTCAATTTAATTTTTCTCTCTCTCATGTTGCCTACATTTAAAATATTTTAAGTTCAAATATAATAGGTGCAACGTATTAGTATTTTTCCCTTGATACTTTATCATTTACCTTTCCTCTATCTCTCATTATTATTATTATTATTATTATTATTATTATTATTTTGATTCCATTCTTTTCTTTTTCACTTTCCTTTGCACCTCAAGCATCGAAGTACCCCTTTTACTCCTTCAAAAATTGTCTTAAACTACTACCATTGTAATCATCCTTTTGGTTCTCTTTTTTTGTTTTATTTTTCTCTTTTCAATAGGAAAATCTAGTAATAATAGTTCAACAAAAGTCTTGACAAAGCCTCAATGCAAAATTTACCGACTTTGTTTATGGTATGTGTACAATATGATGCAAATTAGCCTTTTATTAATATTTGAATGAGTGTAATATGATTTTACTCAATTTTATATTATTTCTATTATTTGTGTAGGATATGACTTAACTTTTAAGAATAATAAATTTAGACCTTAGAGGGTGTTTAGCAAAACTTAAAAAGCACTTACTTAAAAAAGTAAATTCTTCTCTCACAAATTTAAAAATTTTGTTGGAGGAAAAGTAAAAAATTGATTTTTAAAGTAGTTTTTAAACAAGTTTTAAAAAAGTTATACATCTAAACTTTTTCCAAGCTAAACTTTTTCAAAACTTGCTTAAAGGCACATTTAAAAGCCAATTTTTAAAATTTTCACCAACAAAATTTTATATTTATGAGAGAACAATTTACATTTTAATTAAGTGCTTTTTAATTTTTGCCAAACACCATCTAAATTGCAATGTTTCATCAAGTCAAAGTCGCAATGTTTCATCAAGTCAAAGGATTAATAAATGGATGAAATTGAAGACCAAATTGTAGCATTATGAAATCTAAGAACTAAAATTCAAAAAAAAATCTAGAAAGTTGAGGACCGACAATGTAGTTTGACCACTAAGAAAAGAGTGGACATATTTCTAATCAGTAATGGTGTCGGACTTTTTTCTTTTTCTTGTTTCTTTTGTTTGTCTATTTATATAATAAGAAATATATTGTAACGCCAATCTTTTATAATTGGAAAGATATTAATAAAAGTTAAATAAATCTTATAATAAAAAATATTGAATAAATTACTAAGAAATCAATTTTTATTAAGATTGGATTACAATATTTAATATATGTTAGATTTAAGACTGTTTGGTATAACTGTTAAAATTCAACTAATAATAAATAATAGGTAACAGATAACGGATAATGGATAATAGATAACGATAGCAAGTGATGAATGGCAGTTAGTGGATAGTAGGTAGTAGATAGTAAGCAAA